TTCTATGGAAAACTTATTGAAGAAGTTAAAAACGATAATGAAAAGAAACCTTGTTTCACTAGAAGTTTACTTTGTAAGGTTGATGAAGGAATACTAGATGAATTGGACATTGTTTTTCTCATAAATAATATTTTTGGTGCTGGAACTGTGAGTATCACAAATCTTTTTTTCTTCCACTATTTTAATTCTATTCTAATTCTAACTGACTTTGAAATTTTTAGGATACTGTTTCTTCAAGTTTAACATGGTTCACGGCTGCTTTAGCCAATAATCCTCAGGTCCAATATAAAGCCCACCAAGAACTTGATCAAGTAATTGGCCATTCTCGTTTACCGAATGCTTCTGATGAACCAAATTTACCTTATATACGTGCAATCATCAAAGAAGGTCAAAGATATTGTGCGCCAGGCTATCTTGCTATATCTCATTATATTGAAGAAGACGATGAATATAATGGATATCATATTCCAGCAAATTCTGTTGTTATTCTAAATCAATATGGAATTCATATGAGTGACAAAAGATATGAAAATCCAAAAGAGTTTAAGCCTGAAAGATTTTTTGGAATTAAAGAAAGTAGTGCAACTTTAGCAAATGGAAATTATGAAAATAGAGACCATTTTGGATTTGGAGCTGGAAGGAGGCTTTGTACTGGAATTCATATGGTATATATAATTAGTATTAATTTAATTTATTTGTTAATATTATTTTTAACCATTTATGAATTTATTTGCTCTTATTGTAAATGTATGCAGGCTGAGCTTGAGCTTTTTTTGGGCATTTCACGCCTTCTTTGGTGCTTCAAAATTGAAAATGCATCACCATTAGATAAAAACGGTAGACCAATACCAATTAATTTGGAAAAAGCACATATTGGTATAACTGTATGGCCAGAAAAGTATCATGTTAAATTTGTAAAAAGACATGATAATGTTGAAGCTTTATTGAATGAATAGATAATTTTTTTTACGATTATGTCATATTTCACCCGAGTTTGATCAAATCGAATGACCTTGTTTTTTTTCAAAATACTGTAATATGGAATCATTCTTAAATATTGACACAACTTGTTTGTATTTTATATTTATTTGCCTTCTCGGGCATACTCAAATTGAGACAAATCAATGATCACATAATAATAGCGAGTGAAATTTTAATTATAAATAGATCGATCCTTGTCCTACAACTTTAGTTACTTTTCGTTATAACAGCTCTTTCGATAAATTGTCTTAATTTTTACGACTAGTTATTAAAATTATAAAAAAAAATAATAATAATAAAATAAAAAATATTGTAAAGAAAAGAAAAATGAGAAAAATTTGCATTCTTATCACAACGCATTCTTTACATTTTCTCACGGTTCGTAAACTTTCATTTTTGCGTCATTTCTGCGCCATCTCTGCTCCAAAGCATCACGACTTTCCCCACCAGTAGCCTTGAAACCAGGTTACTGTAGCGTACTTGGGAAAAAAATGGTTAGTTTAATTATATATAATATAATGTCTATACATCCGGTCGGCTATACTGTAATAAATGCCTATTTCAAAGAATATTTCTTAGACGATTTCTATTTGTACACTATGTATTCATCTAGTTAATTAAAACTAAGTTTGAACTGAGTTTGGACCAGTTTCCGAAGTTCAGTACTTAAGAGTCATTCGGGTGACCATATAGCATCCATCTATCAATCTGATTATACTATTGTTATCAGGGTGACTCAGATTAATTTTTTGGTCAACGAATTAGCTTGTACGCATGTTATACATGTTAAAATTGGGTACAGAACAATAGGTGCCGAACTTTTTATGATGTGCTTTGTATTATATTCTGTCCTTGAAACAGTTGTTAGTAACTAGATTATGGCAAGTAATTAAATTCATAAATAAACTGTATACTTATCCAACTTCATGTTCTTGTTCACGTGATACGGTATCAGCTCATTTGCACGCCAGTGTTACGACCGGTAGGAGAGCTTCGAAGATATTGGGTC